GTGCTGAAGCTTAACCCTAGTTATAGGCTGAGGTCAATAGGTGAGGTAGGGGTAGGTTCTGATGGGGATACATACCTTGTGGGTAGAGATCTCAACACTGTCTTCAAGTAAGGGGGTTGCTGCTATTAATAGGGAGGGGTGGCCCGCTTCTGTAGGCCCAGAGAGCTTGGGGAGTTAGGAATTGGAAGGGGGAGCTGAAATCAACTCAGATGTCCTTAGCTGAAAGTTTCCTCTTTTTTGGAGGTTTGCTGTTCTCACAATTAGGTCCTGAGCCTGGTAGTCAGCTTTCTCTGCCTTCTCTATCTAGCATTTGAGACCCTCTTGGTATGCTTCAGGGAGGTCCTCTTGCTTCCACATTTGGCTCTCATTTGCCTGTAAATTGCTTTCAGGTTTTCATTATCTTTTCCAGAGTGTCAACCTATCTTAGTAATAGCTACTGAATTACATTATAGTTACTATTTTCTCCAAACTTTGGACACATCTGGTATTTAATACCAGCTACTGCATGTCCTTCCACTGGTGTACCATTTCAATTTGCTACTGGTGAAAGTTTTAACAGCCAGACCAAGTATTAGTTTCCTATGGCTGTCATAATAAACTGGGTGGCTTAAACAGCAGAAATTTATTTTCTCATAGTTCTGGACACTGGGAAGTCTGAAATCAAGGTTCAGTAGAGCCATGCTTCTTCTGAATGCTCTAGGGGAGAATTCTTCCTTCTTCTTACTGTTTCTGGTGGCTCCTGACATCCCTTGACTTGTGGTTTTATGACTTCACGCTCTGCCTCCATCTTCATGTGGCTATTTCCCTATTTCTTTCTATCTGCATGTTTCCCCTTTTCTCATAAGGATGCCAGTCATTGGATTTAAAGAAATCCTAAATCTAAGATAATTATATCTTGAAATCCTTAACTAATTACATCTTCAAAGACCCTGTTTCCTTTTTTTTTTTTAAATTTGACAGAGAGAGAGACAGTGAGAGCAGGAACACAGGCAGGGGGAATGGGAGAGGGAGAAGCAGGCTTCCTGCGGAGCAGAGAGCCCGATATGGGGCTCGATCTCAGGACCCTGGGATCATGACCCGAGCTGAAGGCAGATGCTTAACGACTGAGTCACCCAGGCACCCCAACCCTATTTCCTTTAAAAAAAAAAAAAATTTAATGTTTCAAGTCTTTATTTAAATTCTCGTTAGTTAACATACAGGGTAATATTAGCTTCAGGAGTAGAAGTTAGTGATTCGTCCTTACATGTAACACCCAGTGCTCATCATAACAAGTGCACTCCTTAATACCCATCACCCATTTAGCCCATCCCCCACCCAGCTCCCTCCATCAACCCTCAGTTTGTTTTCTATAGTTACCTGTCTCTCTTATGGTTTGCCTCCGTCTATTTTTTTTTTTAAGATTTTATTTATTTGCGAGAGAGAATGAGAGACAGAGAGCATGAGAGGGAGGAGGGTCAGAGGGAGAAGCAGACTCCCTGCTGAGCAGGGAGCCTGATGTGGGACTCAATCCCGGGACTCCAGGATCATGACCTGAGCCGAAGGCAGTCGCCCAACCAACTGAGCCACCCAGGCACCCCGCCTCCCTCTATTTTTTTTCTTTATCCAATGTTCATCTGTTTTGTTTCTTAAATTCCGCATATGAGTGAAATTATATGGTATTAGTCTTTTCTCTGACTGACTTATCTCGCTTAGCATAATGCACTCTAGTTCCATCCATGTCATTGTAAATGACAAGATTCCATTCTTTCTGATGGCTGAATAATATTCCACTGTGTGTATGTGTGTATGTGTGTGTGTATGTATGTATGTATGTATGTACATACCATATCTTCTTTTTTTTTTTTTTAAAGATTTTTATTTATTTATTCATGAGAGACAGAGAGAGAGAGGCAGAGGGAGAAGCAGGCTCCCAAGGAGCAGAGAGCCCGATGCGGGGCTCGATCCCAGGACCCTGGGATCATGACCTGAGCCGAAGACAGACGCTTAACCATCTGAGCCACCCAGGCGCCCCATACCATATCTTCTTTATCCATTCATCAGTCAGTGGACATTTGGTCTCTTTCTGTAATTTGACTATTCTTGATAATACTGCTATAAACATTGGGCTGCATGTATCCCTTCAAATCAGTATTTTTGTATCCTTTGGTTAAGTACCTAGAAGTGCAATTGCTAGGTCATAAGGTAGTTCTATTTTTAACTATTTGAGGAACCTCCATACTGTTTTCCAGAGTGGCTGAACCAGTCTGCATTCTGACCAACAGTGTAAGAGGGTTCCCTTTTCTCTTTATCCTCACCAACATCTGTTGTTTCTTATGTTGTTAATTTTAGCCATTTTGACAGGTGTGAGGTTGTATCTCATTGTAGCTTTGATTTGTATTTCCCTGATGATGAGTGATTTTGAGCATCTTTTCATGTGTCTGTTAGCCATCTGGATGTCTTCTTTGGAAAAATGTCTGTTTGTGTCTTCTGCCCATTTCTTAACTGGATTATTTGTTTTTTGGGTGTTGAGTTTGATAAGTTCTTTATATATTTTGGATACTAACCCTTAATCAGATATGTCGTTTGCAAGTATCTTCTCCCATTCTATAGGATGCCTTTTAGTTTTGTTGATTGTTTCCTTCACTGTGCAGAAGCTTTTTATCTTGGTGAAGTCCCAATAGTTCATTTTTGCTTTTGTTTCCCTTCCATTCAGAGACATGTCTAGTAAGAAGTTGTTATGGCTGATATCAAAGAGGTTGCTGCCTGTGTTCTCCTCTAGGGTTTTGATGGTTTCCTGTCTCACATTTAAGTCTTTCATCCATTTTGAATTTTTTTGTGTGTATGGTGTCAAAAAGTCAAAGACCAAATTTCCAAATAAGGTCATCTTTTGAGGTTCTAGATGGACATGAACATGGGTGGTGGGGGAGAACACTATTCAGTCCACTATAGGTAGCCAGTTTGGCCAGGGACTATTTGTGCTCAATTTATCACTGATGAGGAGCTCCTCACTGCTAGCCAGGTGGCAAGTGATTCATTTCCAAAACCCCATATTACCTTTGTCATCTCACTCCTGATACCAACCTCATAGTTTGGATTCTCCAGGAAACAGACCCTGAATCTGAGTTCAGGCTGCAGAATGTTAATTAGGGAATGCTCTTGGTACCTGTGGAAGGGAAGAGGAAGTCAAGCTGCATCAGCCTCAACCAACCCTACAGGGAACTTTGGAGCTAACTAAAATCACCTGTCAGAGTCAACCAGGGTTGGACCAAAATGGTTAAATGTTTATATATCCACTTCTCTTAGTCACTGGATATGAGCAACAGTGGGAAAGGCTTGACCTTGAATGAGGTGGCTCTTTGTAGCTTTCATAAATATCACCAAATTGCTCCTCCATATGTTTGAACCAATTTACTTTCTCATTGGCAATATGTGAGTCCCAGTTATATCACATTCTTGTTAAATTTGATGTCAGACTTTAAAATTTTTGCCACTCTGATGGATGTGATCCAGTTTGTTAGTTTAATTTACATTTTGTTTATTACCAGTAAATTTGAGCTCATCTCCTAAGTTTATTAACCATTCAGATTCCCTTTCTTTTTGACTTGCCTTTCGTATTCTCTACCCATTTTTCTACTGTATTGCTTATATTTTTCCTTTTATAAGTGTTCTTATGTTCTGGATCCCAACTCTTTTGTATTCTATAGGTTGCAGACATTTTCTCCCAGTCTGTCCTTTGTCTTTTATAGTGTCTTTTGTTTTACAAGAGTTTTACATTTTAATATACTGAAAAGTATTTATTATTACATTTGTTGATTGTATTATTCTCTTTTCCCGAACCTGATGTTATAAAAGGTATTTTCATAAATCTTACTCTAAGATCAAAAGTTTTACTTTTTACATTTGTCTTTAATATACTTGAAATGTATTTCTGTGTAAAATATAAAGTTTCTACATGAATAACCAATTTTCATAAAGATAATAAGCAAAACATGTTTGAAGAGTATTCATAATTTTTGACTTGGAATTACATGATTAAGATTTATCCCAAAGAAAGGAACAGAGATATGTGCAAAGATTTACTAGGATGATGACCACATCATTGTTTACTATATGGAAGAATTGCAGACAATCCAAATATTTAACAGTGGGAGAATGAGTGAAATTAATCTGATTACAGGTATATAATGTTATATAGCTACAAAAATAACACATTTGAAGAAAATTAAATTACAGTGAAATAAATTAATGATAGGGTCTCATGTGGAAAAGACCAGTTAAAACAGTGTATATGTATGGAATGAATAAATTACAGGGATGGAAGGCACAGCATAGGGAATATAGTCAATGATACTGTAATAGCATTGTATGGTGACAGATGGTAGCTACACTTGTGGTGAGCATAGAATAAAATATAGACTTGTCAAATCACTATGTTGTACACCTGAAACTAATTTAACATTGTGTGCCAACTATACCTCATTAAAAATCCAGTGTATATGATCAAATATTATTTTGAAAAGAAAATGTAAATACCCACAAAAAAAACTAAAAAGTTATTTGTTGAACTGTTAGTGTCTGTGTCGTGAAGTTATGGATGGATAATCTTATTTACTTATTTCTTCACATCTATTTATATTTTACTTTTTAATAAAAAATTGGAAGTTATTTTAAAATAATCATTCCAAGGATTAAGGTTAACAGAGCATTCTTATGTGATTAATGAAGAAAAAGTAGTCTTTGTTGCCTGGTACAGTGGTTAGAATGATAGAAAGCCCGGAATCTTAATGACAGAACTGAAGTCAAACATCCTGATCCGATGGTCTTCCATATTTGTATGACCACATATCCTGATTTGGAGATGCACAAAATTCACTCTTCCTGGTGTGATCCAGATCCAGCACACCACTGATTGTACCCAATAGCCAAAATTAACAAATATTAACAGTTTTTGCATGACATTTTCCACAAAAGAAATAAAACATTATGAACAGTGTTGAAGTTCTCCTTGTTTCTCTCCACAGATCCATCTCCTTATCTTCCTTCCCCAGAGACACCACTATCAAGAATCTGGTATGTATTCTTCCAGACTGCATCTTCATACTTTTATTACAATATATATCCAGTCAAAACAATAATTATGTTTTGCATATTTTGAATTTTACTTAATGCTGTCATATTGTTCATATTCTTCAGCTTCCTTTTCTCTCACATTATGAAGTTTATTTATACTGATTCATATAGATGTGGTTCATTCATTTTAACTGCTGATTGTGCTCAATTATATGAAAATATCACAACTTATTTATCCATCCTCTTATTAATAGACTTTTAAGTTGTTTCCAATTTTTGCTAATATAAGTGATGTTGTAACCACTCTAGGTATGTCTCAGTATGTAAAGTTACAATGCCTAGAAGTGAAACAAATGAGTTTTAGGGGATGGTTATTTTCTACTTTAGTAATATTGACAAACTGTTCCCTAAGTGGTTGTACCAATTTATACTCCTGGTAGATGTATTTGAGAATTTCTCATTTTCATATTGCCAATTTTTAGTATCACAGGACTTTTTAAATATCACCAAAACCTTAGGGTATGAAATGGTATCTTGTTTTAATTTGCATTTCATAGATTACAGGGTAGGTTGAACATTGTATTAGTTAGCTAGTGTAAAGGCTAAACTGCTGTAACAAATAGCCTGTCCCCCCCTACCCCCACCCCACTCCCAATATAGTAGTTTAAAAGAGAAAGACATTTCTTTCTTGCATAACAATCTTATGTAGGGTAGTCCAGACTGGTAAGGTGGCTTGGCTCCACACAGTTATTCAGGGATCTTTCCATCTGTTATACTGCTGTCTCTTAGGCCATCATTCTTGTCTTCATGGTTAGTTAGGTTGTTGCCACATACCAACTTTTGGGGAAAGATTAGAGAATTTTTGGGAAAGCAATTTTCTTATAGGCATGTAAGGCAGAAGCTGCACACATCCCTTCCACTCACGTTCCATTAGCACTACTTAGTTTTATAGGGGCATCCTTAGAAGGATACTGGGAAATGTAGTCCTTGGCTGGACAACCATGTGTCCAGTAGGAAGGGAAGAAGGTGGGGACTAGTATTCCTTCTTAAGCACCTGTTTATTGACCTTTGGGGCTTCATCTTCTATGACTCAGCTGGCAATATATTTTGTCCATTTTTGTTTTGTTTGCTTTTTCTTATTTATTTATAGGAATTCTTTATATATTCTAGTTTGCTTATTTACAATAAATTTGATTACTTAAAATGTACCAGTATACATACGTCAATAAAGATATCTTAAAATATTCTATTGTACATATAAAGGAGTTACTTAAACAAGTCATGTCACATTCTTTTGATAAATTAAGATTTCCTTTATAAAGTGAATAATTCCCACCCATTCCAATTTTCTCTTTTCTGGAAATATGGAATCTCACCTACTCATTTTATTTAAAATGAGGTAGACCTATATACTCCATTGACTTCTTAAAAATCAAAGTTTTATGGCAAGTTTTTAGGTTAATATAAGTTTCTCAAAATTAACACTTAGAAAAATGTCGTTTCTTAGATTCAGTTGAACTTACTGAACCTATAAGGGACCCTGACAACATGTCTGATGTTGTGGTAATTTTCTTAACCACACTGAGTTTCAATTATCTCAATTGAATTAAGGATGATATTATTTGCTCTAACTGCTATATGAGATTGTTGTAAGGACCAAGGAAGATAATGTAGGGAAATGCTCTATAGAATCCAAAATTTATTCAATTGTTAGGAATTAGAATTACAAATAGGATTTAAGTAGCATGCATTAGATTTTATTTGAAGTTTCATAAATCTTGTTTCCAGTTCCACTGACATACTCTATATATTATCTACACACATAATCTATACTCCATATCAAGGCCTGACTTTTGACAGTCACTACCATCTCTGGGTGTGTGTATATGTGCAGGTTGGAATAACAGCCATGTGGTTGAGCACATCTATGTGAGATAAGACTCTTCTGAGAATTGCTTTTATTCAGAGCTGCTCCTTTCCTAATGGCGACCTAGGAGACCCTTTTCAGATTGTTTTCAAGCTGTTCTCAGCTAAACCTCATCATTTCTAGTTGTGCCTTGGAGTTTCTATCACTGATTCAGGCCAACCCAGCTTGTCATTTATCACTGTCTTCACTGGGGAAAATTCTCAGTTTCCTGGAATTTTGTGTCCAGCCTGTCACACACAATTAAAGCTCATTACAGTTAGTTGGGCAGTACATAAATGGCACCTCCTTATCTTAGCCTGATCCATCAGCTCCTCTCCCCAGTATCTCTGTGCCACCACAACTCTGCATGGCAGTCCTCAGGCATGGCCAAGGAAAAAGAGGGCTGGTGGGGGCAGAGAGGAAAGAAACAAGAATGCCCTGGAATGTGATTTTTGCTTTATTGGTGATAAACTGATTTTAAAAAGTTGGAAAGAATTATATCAATGTGTTGAAGAAGTGACTATATAGTAGAAGTCTCATTATTTTATTGATATACTTGAATTTTGTTTTAAAAATTAGAACAACAGTGTTCTTGTGACAAAATGCAGGACAATTATTATATGCTGTGTAGCTTACACCTGCAGATGTTAGGTATACTCAGTGGGAAATAAAGTGAGAACCAAGGTGATTATGTGATGACCAAGGTGGGGGAATTAGCAGAGTGAGGGTCTCTGTCCTCCCTCCTACCCAAAATGGGGTTAACATTCATTCACTTGTTAAGCATTTATTGAGGAACTCCTATATATTAAGAGACATCCTAGGTGCTGGGACACAGCAGAGGCAGAAAAAGGTGAGGTCCTGCTCTCATGAAGCTTGAATGGTAGGGCATGGAAGAGGTTAAAAGACAAGACTTAGACAAAGAGGCACATGATAATGAAAATAAATAAATACAAGCATATCAGTTAGTGACAAATGCTATGTAAAGATTTTTAAAAATGATGTGAAAGAGATTGGGGTCATCAAGAAAGATCTTTCTGAAAACGTAACGAGTAAACAAATCTGAATGATAAGGAGCAAATCATTTAAAATCAGGTGGGAAGAACACATAGCTGGAAGGCTTAGCTAATGCAAAGGACCAAAAGTAGGACCAAGTTTAACAAGTCCCAGTGGGACAAAGAAGAAGGCCAATGGGCATGTAGTGAGATGGTGAGGGCAGATGGCAAGGAGGTGCGTGTGGATAGGTAGGTTGGATCATGCAGAGCTCTGTCAGACAAGGCCTGAGTCACAAGTCCAGAGGTTTAGTCCAGAATGAGGTCCATTTGGGAGCTTTTGCGGCAATGAGGAAGCCAAGGTTCTCAGAATCAGGTAACTACCAGGTCTAGGAAGTTTATCTGGGTTGATTCAAGGATAGTCTTTAGGGGTAAAGAGCAGACATTGGGAAGATGGAAGCCATTACAGAAATAGTATCTTGCCCTGAAGGAATAATCTAGTAGGTATTGGGTGAGTTGGTGGTGGTCTCAGCTGATGGAAATGAAACACCAGAACAAGGTAAGACAGACAGACATCCTTTAGGTAAAAATTTAGTAGGGGTACAGTGCCTCTTAACCCATGCAAGCATCCCATAAGAACCCGTTCAGCCCCTTGTATCCCATACTAGAGACATGGGGCAGCAAATAAGCTCCCAAACCCACTCACTTGTGTGTGGGAGCTCCAAATGTACCGCAAGGTCTGACTGTTGTTGGCTAACAGCCTCACCAGGTCCAAGCCTAAAGTTGGCAGATCATTTTGGCAGGGACAGGGAATGTGTACCTATATAGTACTAGAGCAGACTGGGAATGACAACCAAGAAGGCAAAATTTTGCTTTTAAAGATTCAGGATCAAATTCAAGGTTCTTCACCTTTGAGTTCGGGCACCACTCAAGTCAATCAAGCCTTTCAAGTTTTTTTGACATTGTAAGGCAACCATCTGGTAAAGGAACAGGTAAAAGTTCACTGTGAATAAGACTTAATTATGCATCCCATAGGCAGATATGCCCTGGGTTAGGTCAGGCACAAGTTGAGGCTTTATGTGTCAAGAAATATCTCAGGATAGCAGAAAGTGTCCCTCCTTCGAAGGTGGCACCATGTCTAACAACAAGTTCCTTAATTTTCGTAGCCAGGAAAATCTCCTGATAGCCTAAAACCCCATACTATTCTTACTAGACCATCCTGTCTTCCGAGTAAACACATCCCTAAACTTTTTATTTATTGTAGTAAAATTAAACAATAATCATGAGGAATTGAAATGAGGCATATTTCATAGAGATAATACATAATATTAAATTAAAATGTGTGTGCCTGTTTGCTCAGTGGAAACAAGAGATAGATAATACACATGACTGTGTACATCACATGAGGATCTTTCTATAAAAAGTTAACAACAGGGCGCCTGGGTGGCTCAGTTGGTTAAGCGACTGCCTTCGGCTCAGGTCATGATCCTGGAGTCCCTGGATCGAGTCCCGCATCAGGCTCCCTGCTCGGCAGGGAGTCCGCTTCTCCCTCTCCCACTCCCCGTTTGTGTTCCCTCTCTCGCTGTGTCTTTCTCTGTCAAATAAATAAATAAAATCTTAAATTAAAAAAAAATAATAAAATAAAAAAAATAAAAAGTTAACAACAAAATCATTTTTTTTTATTAGAAGCTTTCATTTCTTGGTGCCTGACTGTGTTCTAGGCACTGTGCTGAGCACATTTTACATGATTTCATGTAACCTCGGTTATGCTATTGTTTCTAACTAAAAGTAATGTACTCAGGGAATCCCAGGGTTTGGAGGGTCGTCTGATCTGATTTATACCATTTGACTTACAGCAGCTTTTCCATTAATGTAATCTTCTTCACCTTATGGGACTTGTACTCACTTATTTGTACTTCTCTCTCTCTCTTTTTAAAGATTTTATTTATTTATTTGATGAGACAGCGAGAGAGCACAAGCAGGGGGAGGAGGCAGAGGGAGAGGAGAAGCAGACTCCCCGCTGAGCAAGGAGTTCCTCACAGGGCTCAATCCCAGGACCCTGGGATCATGACCTGAGCCAAAGACAGATGCTTAACCAACTGAGC